TTAACGGTTTAGTGAATCGATTTGTAATTTTTACAGGAGTTTTAGAATTGAATGAGGAACATTCTTCCAAATTTTTATTTGTCTCGTAGCATTTTAATATACCTCCCAAACATCCTTAAGTATGTAAGATACCCCTAGAAGTAATAGGTTTGAAATAAATAGTGCCGGCAAAGTTTGGTTAACCTCTCACCTTATACCTGCTGTTTCTGATACAGGTGTTTCATCATAAATTTTAATTAACAAGTATAAAAATTGTATACATTTGTTTTACCGATAAAATTTTAGGAATGTATAAATTCACTGAATTAATTTTTAAAAGGGTTATTGGAAGTTTATTGGAAATTTTATTCAAGTTCCTGTTTAAATTATGTAGTTCTAGTATCGTTCGCAAGCAACTAAACCTGTAAATAAATAATTAGTTATTTATATTCACGCGCATATGTATATTTATAAATTATACAAATTCTTAGTTGATTGAGCTCGTAAAAAGTTTTTAATTTGTACTTTATAAATAAATTAATTAGCATTGATGGTTAAAATGTATTTATAAATCTCCATATTAAATAGATTAACCTATAATAAATGTAATATCTTTTTTTTTGTTAGTATTAGATAATAAATGAACAAATCATAAAGAAAAGTTATGTAGTCTATGAGCTTTTTCACACGAGCTACATTGTATAGGGATTCCGCTGCGCTACAGTAGCGCTACAGCTGCTAGTTTGTATAAAGAGCGATTTTTTGTAGTGCTTCGATATTGTAGCCCAAAGTCGGACAAACATTAACTTCGTAGGAGCCGCTACCTGATCTTAGTTTGGGTAACTCCATACCCTTCAATGAATACGAGAGAGTTAGCAGTAATGACCCATTTTACTTTCTCTTTTTCTTCTCCCTTCCACTCCCATATCAAGCCTTTCATCCCGTAGACGAGCGAAGCCTCTCTCGCAACTTATGTAAATGATACCTATGAAAATTTTCTAATGATAGTCCCGCAACTCAGGGGTAGCATGCCGGACTACGTTCGCAATACTATTGGGTCGGCTATGGAAGACGGGACTCACCTACGAAATGGAAGGGATAATAAAAGGAAAGAATCATCTCACTCGCACTCGCAGGAGTAATGATGAGTTCCTTGGCTATGCCTGAGGAGCACGCGGGAGTCAAAAGAGCCGCTTTTGTCCGGCTCTGTTGTAGCCGATGTACAAAAAGACCGGGTTGTGAAAATCTATTGTATAAATACAAATGATTAGATTCTATGCTAACGGAATCAAATTTAGTATGTACGCTAAACAATAGATATATTGTACACGGCGTTAGGGTGAGTTTATTTTATAATGGCTTGCAAGCTTCTATTTTTACTAGACATGACACTGGCGCCGTCATAACATTGCGTAAGGATCGGAATGTGGCGACACGACGCCAATTAATTTTTGTTTAGTGTTTCCAAAATTAGCGTTGCCAATCCTCGAGCGTTTCTAAACATTAAACAGTTAATAAAACTAGGTAATCTTTCTACTAATTAAGTTTAAGACAACCGCGTAACTAATTGTGTATCCATTGTAATCCAGTAAATGAAAATTCTTGATCAGTCAACAACTGGCGTGAACTGTATTAGTAAAACTCAAAATGAAATACTATCCTTGAATCATTATTGTATTTATCCCCTAACAATATTTTATTACGATTAGGGTAGTTTTGCTTGATATATAGTTTGTTATTGTTGGGATTATTATTAAAATAATCAGTTTATTTTCTTATTCGTGACAATGATGTTGATAACGAATGATGATGTGATTAAGGATGCACTTAACATGTTTTTTTATGTTGTTTATTGATATATAAGTGATATGTATGGTTAACAGGTGAAATGCTTCTTGTTCAAATGAACTGAAAACTGAAAACTTTTGGGTGCTTCATTCCCACCAGCCAGTAATGCTGGTGGGCGCGCAGTCCCTCCGGACTACGCCCGAAGGTAGGGCGGAAGGCCCTCTTCAGCCTGCTTTCAGGAATCGTGGGAATAGGTGGGTGGCGATTCGGGTGAGAAAGATGAGACGGACGAAATGAAGACAGAAGAGAATGAAAGATTATCTGTGGAATATTACTGCCTCAGCATTTGCCTAGGTGATCCAAGTGAACTACAGAAAAACTTGGATCAAGGTAGACGGACCTGGAATCGAACCGGCGTCCTCCCGAATGCTAAGCAATGCTCTAAACCACTAGGCCATGCTGCTCGGTGTTCAAATGATGGTTGAAGACTTATTTACATGTACAAAAATAACTTAACCTGAGAGGGGAAAAAATTTGAAAAGTAGTTGTTAGAAAGCTGAGACTGCAATATACATGTTTTCGTGAAAATAATGCCGAGAACGACCGACTATTGTAAACTTTATGATAGGGGTATAAATAGCACCAGTATGTCAGGAGTAGTGTTGCCAGGTCCGATTTGTTTTAAGTCGGGGCAGAAGGTAAAACAAATCGGGATTTAGGGTTGTAGATCGGGACAAACAAAAAAACAACGTTTTTTAAATAAAACATTTATTTATTGCGTTTCGCAACTAATATTGCAAGTAGGCCTGGCAGAATTTAATCCTACATAATAATAGTCAGACTTGTTGGACTAGTAGAAATTTAAAAATAGGTAATATGTAATTTTTCATTATTCTAATAATAATGGCTTTTTAATAAATTTATTGATTTATCGGGACATTTATCGTTCCGATCAGGTGCAAATCGAGACGCGTCCTCAGACCCTGAGAGTCGGGACGTCCCGCGCAAATCGGGACACCTGGCAACCCCAGTCAGGGGAGACGCAGATACAGTGGTACCTCGAGATACGAGTGCCTTACATACGAGTTATTTGAGATACGAGCTGTCGAGCGAGCGAAGTTTTGTTTTGAAATACGAGCGTCATTTGAGATACGAAGTTTTTTGGCCCTTCTGTTAAGAAATATCTACAGAAAAACAACCTACCCATGCAAGCCTTTCTCGTCTTCGACAATACTCCTGCTCACCCACCGAACCTCGAAGATGACATCCTCGAAGAGTTCAAGTTCTCTATCTACCATCTAACACCACACCTATCCTGCAGCCCATGGATCAGCAGGTGATTTCTAATTATAAAAAGCTGTATACTAAGCACCTGTTTCGGCGCTGCTTTGAGGTGACAGAGAACACAAAGCTCATCCTTCGAGGGTACTGGAAGGACCACTTTAACATCGTGATATGCCTCAGAATTATTGATCAGGCCTGGCTGAGTGTTACAATGAGGACTTTGACCTCTGCATGGAAGAAGCTGTGGCCTGGTCGGAAGCCGAAAGGACCTTCAAAGGATTGGAACCCGAAGTGCCAGTGGAGTGTCTCTGGGAAAATCCATGGGCCTGGTGATGGATGAAAGAAACGTGAACGAGCTCGTCGAGGAGTACTCTCAGGAACTGACGACCGAGGAATTATAACAGTTACAATCATAGCAGCGTTCGGGGGTTCTGCAAGAAATTAGTTTCGAGGAAGATTCAGAGGTAGAGGAGGTTATCTCTACAAGTGAGCTAAAATAGGTCTTGGGAATGTCTTATTCAAAAACACGTAACAAAAACAATTGGGGCTGGAACGGATTAATGGTTAATTAATTTCAATTGGGAAAATTGCTTTGAGATACGAGCAAATTGACATACGAGTAAGGTTACAGAACGAATTAAACTAGTATCTCGAGGTATCACTGTATCTCCGGTGATGCCTATAGTACGTACTTGCCTTGCTTGAGGTGGGCATGGTGGTATAGCTACACGGAGTTTAAGTTCGTCTTATCCTGTTGGTCTCCAGAATGTATGTATCTCGTCTGAAGGCGCGGGAATGCAAACTCATGATTACAGGTACTATCCACCGACTGATGAATAAAAGCTACATGCTGATCATTTTAGACTGGTGAGGCACGTGCAGGGCAGGGATTCCTAGGAGCCCCGGTTAGTACTTAATTACCTTAAGATCTTATCAACAGACCAGTAGTGATTATGGTTTCGTATGGTCGAGAAAGTAATGTCATCGTTACCTTACTATCATGTAGTCGCCAGCCAGCCAACTATGTTTATATTTGAGCACGCACGCCTTCATCTCCCCTCTGGTCAATTTATTAACTATATATTTACTATCATTCATTAAAATTGGTGAGTAATGATTACATCGTTTATTCTAATTGATTATGTTGGTTTTAAAAAATACAATTCACCTGACAATAAATTTAAATAGTATCAACATCGTTTTTTTTTTTTCTTACAGTTTATGTATTTATATATTGACATCAAGATGATTTTACCTAAGACATATGAAAGGTATGCATTTGATACTCATTTTTGGAATGAAATCCTATAGTTTATCTATTCAAAACGAAAGTCTTGGTGACAAATGAAATGTCAATCGTAGCGACGGCTATTTGATATCTTGGGAGGATAGTTTACAGTTACTTTTGTGTGCTTGTAATTAGCAACACAAATCGAATTTAGGAATTAACTCAAAAATTAAAAATCATGCCATCACGTCACTTTTTCTCAATTTATGCAAATTGTTTTTATTATTAAATAGGTATTTGCATAAATATTTTTTCGGGCAGGTAGGCATGAGAATGAAAAATTGAAGGCCACTGTTTTTCTAGCTTTATTGGAAACATGTACACAAGGTATATATATATATAAGACAAAATAGTCCAATAAGGTTTAGTTGTTTTAGAAGATCTAAGATGCTCAAAGCAAAATCAGTAAGTAGTCTAATAGGATTAAGTTAATTGTAATTAAAGGTGAAAATGTTCTTGAAGAGATTAATATTCAATATTAAACATTATACTGAAATTAACATTCTATCCTTTACATATTACCCCAACTTAATGGGGGAAAAATAGTTGCTGCTGTTACACCCTCGTCCATTAATTTCGGATAATATATCAAGGATATAATGTTAATTTAAGTTTAATATTTAAAATTAATTAATTTTGTTTTAAACGGTTACGAGACTAACAATTCATTATGGCATTTTAAATGTTTATTTTACGTTTAAGTTTTTAAATGGTTTAGTTGGTTTTAGTTTATTTCTTATTTAGTTAACTAATGTGGGAAATAAGAGTTTATTATTTATTTAAGGCTAACAATGTAACTCTTTTAATATTATAATCATAAGAAGTGATGTATTCAGAAAAGTTAAGTATATCACTTACTCTCATTATAATCATTACTTGCATTCTTGCAGTTATTTAAAATTTTGCCTTCACGATTTGATTAAGAATTGGTCTGATGTTATATTAACATCATACATTGAAATGTGGTATGATATTTTCAACACAAATTTTTACGGAAAACTAAAATGCAATTATTTTATCACATTTATATTCCAATGCTTGCTCCCTATTCAAAAGTTTGATAATTCCTGTTAGTTAGTATTTAGCCCTTTATATATAAAAATACTTGGTTTTTACTTGTATAAACTGATGACTACATTTAAGTTAGTAAATTTCTTGTTAAAAAGAAAATGGAAATTATTTGAATGTACGGTACATAAAACTAACTTAATATAAACTATTAAGTAAAATTATTGCACATACCTACTATTCACTAACACAAGGATATTTTGTTGCATGTAATCGAGATAGGGCGGCCTCATCTTTTGATGCATACAATGTGGTACCTATAGGAAAATTCTTACAAATACGCTTATCTATTTTATTCATATAAATAATATAGTAATATAAATATAAAGGCGATTAATGCAATTTAAAGTCTTTGAAGAGTGTCAATGCACTATTCAAAAGATTTTGAGTATTCGTTAGTTTAGGATAATTTACTAAGAAACTGCAAATATTTTCAAATGGGCATGACTGAAAAATATATTCCACGTGTTCACCAAATTATGCATTTTTGTTGGTGTTACATTAATGGTGACTAACCTTTCAGTGATGAAGTACGATTTGATAAAATTTCTGTCTTGCCATTGACCTCCAACTGTTGGGAAGTAATATACCTACAGTAAATAAATGATTATTCTATCTATAAATAGAAAAATATATATATAAAAGACTTGATTACGTAATTAGTGTGTGAATCGGTCACATTTTATATTAATGTATCAACGATTTTTCTTTAATTGTATTTTTTGTGTTAGATTATCCTCATTGCACTGCTAGCCTTGGCAGCAGCTGCTCCAGCTCCTGAACCCAAACCAATCATTGGACACGCACTATTAGGAGCCGGTTTATTGGGAGCAGGAACTTTAGGCGCAGGAGCTGTCGGAGCTGGTCTTCTAGGAGCAGGCGTCCTTGGCGCAGGCGCTCTTGGTGCAGGTGCCCTTGGTGCGGGTGCACTCGCTGGCAAAGCTTTAGCCTACGGAGGAGGCTATGGCCATGGCCACGGTTATGACTATTACCCGTCCAGTTATCACTACCACAATTACTACCCTGTAGAAAACCATTATCACTCCTATCCAGTATATGCAGACTCTTATGGATGGTGGTGAAAACGCCCAATAGTATTTTTGCGGTTTTTCATTAAATTATTTTTGTTTCATCTATTCTAATAAGTTATTTCATATCGTTGTTAAAAAGAAAATATTTTCTCCACATTTTGTTTTATTTGAAATGCAGGTTGAACCATAAACGAATTTTATACTGGGGAATTTTGTCTCGCTATAAGAATCCGTGGGATTTTGCGGTACTAGCACCGTCAGAGATCTAAAGTGAAGTTAATAGTAATGACCTCCTGGTTTGGAAGATCCTATGTTTTCTTGTATCAAGAATGTTAACATACCAAAAATCTATTAGAGCGAAATATATATTCCCAGACGAACAGTCAACACCAGTATAGTTTCCTATATTTCAAGTTAAAAAAACATTGAAACAATCATGCACATTCGATTGCGAAAAAAGACCAAGGCGAAGACCAAGACCAAGACCTAGCTGTCCCGGCAGACTTCGTACTGCCCCAATCGATATATAAAAGACCTAAATTTTTGTATAAAATAAACTTAGTTGACAAATGTCAAATATTATGGTTGCGTTCAGAAATTTAATTTGACAGAACTTAATATTTATCAATCTACATAATTATAATCTGAAAGATAGTTAACAACTTTCATATTTATTCACCTTTTAAACCTTCCCTGGACTTCCACAAATAATTCAAGACCAAAATTAGCTAAATCGGTCCAGCCGTTATCGAGTTTTAGCGTGACTAACGAACAGCAATTCATTTATATATAGATATATAGATTTCATTATATGAAAGCTAATTTGTTACTATTACTGTTATAAGGCATTTGCTTTTAATTAGAATGGTACTGCAATGTTTAATTTTAAACCAATACCAAAATTGTAGTATAATTATGTGCCTAACGTACTGTATCAGATTTGTTTGAATGCAATATACAATTTCGTTACAAAAAAGATTATAATTAAAATTAATAATAGAGTTAACACATTTAAAAAGGCTTTAAAGTGGGGTTTGTTAAGAAAGAAAGACAACTTCAGGAGATAATTACGGCTAATACGGACCTCAAGTACAGACACCGGGAGCTTGCATCTATCATCAAGAAATTGACCCTTTTAGACCATATTAGAAATTTACTATAGAGTGACATAATTGGAGGCTGTCGAAGATCCGTTTCCGTCTCGACCTGGAGGGCACATTAGTATTTGTTGAACAGTGTAGTGTCACGGTGTTACCGAATTAAAGTTTGCTTCAAGAATAAAAGTATCGAAATTTTCATTACAAAATAAAAATAAATAATGGGCGAGCGTGTATTAAAGTACACGCGTAAGAAGTGAAACTTCTTTAGATTGTATATTAGAGTAGTATTTTTAAAAACAAAAATGGCTTAAACTATTGCATTAACTAAACACCAGAAGAATACTACTTTATTTCTAGCGAACGAATGCGGAATGTTGTTTTAGTTTTACGCTTGCATCATACAAAACTGCGGAGAGTAATTACAAATCAAATAAAACAAACACAAACATATATGCAATACATACACAGTACAGCGCAGGCTGACAATTTATCGGTTGTTACTAACAGCCTCTGAAGCCTTTTAAGATGACCCCCTTTGAACATATCCGCCAGGGGTAACACGTGGTGAGTGGCGCTTAACACGTGACACGTGATGCGTGACGCTTGATGCGTGATGCTGTGACACATGATGTTACATTTTTCGGTTTTATACCCTAGTAAATTTCCTTCCTACCGTCGACTAAAAAGTTTCACTTTAATAATATTAATTCCTAAAATCTCTACTATAACAAGACGTAAGCAATTAAACTTATTTCATTATCATCATCATCATCATAACATATAAGGTTGTCAGTCGTGATTGAATACGCACCTCCAGTGTTTCCTATCCTGAGCTAATCTTCCTTAAAGCTAAAACATCCTACATTCTTAACTAGGAATTTGTGAACCATAATCTAATCTAGATCTGCCTATACTCTCCCTAACTCCAGTTTTTGTCACCAGTATGCTTCTAACTAACTCTTGGTCCTTGAGAAGGTGTCGTACCAACCTATCTCGCTTATTTCTTATTAACTTCTCTGTTGTCCTACTTCTTGTAATACGAGGGTGGATTGATAAGTTTCCGGCCTAACCAAGAGATGACGCCACTAGGCCTACCTTGAGGTGACATTCTATAGTACCATCCTTGGATAGCTTGTAGCTATAGTTTCAGCCCGATCTCCTTGCTAGTGTAGGTTTGACAGCACGCTGAACAAGACGCCTCTGTGGTTTTCGTAAAAATGGAAAAGCAGGAAAATCGTGCTGTCATCAAATACTTTTATTTGAAGGGGTTAACGCCGAAGGAAATTAAAAAAGAGATGGACTCAACACTGGGGACATCCTCCCCGTCATATTCAACCGTTAAGCAGTGGGTTTCCGAGTTTAAAAAGGGTCGTGTGAGCACCTCTGATGGGCCTCGCTCAGGACGCCCCGTTGAGGTCACAACTCCAGATATGATCGAAAAAATTCATCAAATAGTGCTGGGAGACCGCAGATTGAAAGTGCGTGAGATAGCTGAGACCTGTAAGATGTCATATGAACGTGTGCAACATATTTTGCACCAACATTTGCATATGGAAAAGCTCTGTGCAAGATGGGTGCCGCGTTTGCTAACAGTCGACCAAAAATTGATTCGAAAAAACATTTCTACCGCAAATTTGTCATTGTATAAGCGTAATCCAAGCGAATTTTTGCGTCGATTCGTAACCGTTGACGAAACGTGGGTCCACCACTACACTCCTGAAACCAAAGAACAGTCTAAACAGTGGATTGGACCAGGGGAACCAACTCCAAAGAAGGCAAAAACAATTTTTTCGGCGAACAAGGTTATGGCTACTGTTTTTTGGGATGCAAGAGGTATTATATACATTGATTACCTTGCAAAGGGTAATACTATCACTGGTCAATACTACGCAGACTTATTGCAACGTTTGAGCCACGAGGTGAAAATTAAACGACCTCATCTGGCGAAGAAAAAAATCTTGTTTCATCACGATAACGCACCAGCGCACACGTCAATCGTTGCGACGGCTAAAATCAACGATCTAAAGTTTGAATTGATGCCGCACCCTCCTTACTCTCCAGACCTAGCCCCGAGTGACTATTTTCTGTTCCCTAATCTCAAAAAATGGCTTGGCGGTAAGAGATTTGCGGACAATGAAGAAGTAATCGAAGCTGTAAATGGTTATTTTGAGGAGCTTGACGAATCAGTCTATAGAGATGGCATTAATAGACTGGAACACCGCTATGAGAAATGTATCAGCCTTGGAGGAGATTATGTTGAGAAATAAAAAAAAAAAATTTTTAAAAACCTTGTTTTTCTTGGTCAGGCCGGAAACTTATCAATCCACCCTCGTAGGTACCTCCTTAGTTCTAACCCTTAGCTGACGCGCAAAAAAGGCATTCGATCCCAACCTTTTGACGCCTAGTAAACTATTTAAATTTCCAAATCCTGCAACCAAATGCTTCCAATAAACTTATATTTAGGCTTTAACAATCTCTTGTTTGGTAAATAGTCAACTAGGCTTAGACAATAACCCTTATTCTTGCCTATTTGTTTATGGTATTTAATTCAGAATAAATGTCTCGAAATATAAAACATTGAGCTATTGTGTTATGTTTGTTGGAGTTTTCTTGCGGTCTTATAGAATTTTTTTGTACGTATTTAACCCATTTACAGACACGCACTAAATAGGAAATATTCACAAAACCACAGATATCTTTGTTCTGTTTTATAGAAAGTTAATAGAATTGAATTTTATTCAAAGCCATTGAGTAAATGTTAATTTTCTAAGTTCAAAATAAGTACAAGTTACCACTTCAATATGAATAGCCTTGGCAAAGACAAACTTTAAATTCGTTGACACTTAAGAACATGGATTTTATAATTAACTGTCAGAAATATAATTCCTAAAAAATAATAAATAATTCATTGTTTACTACTTAATCATCGCCAGAGCAAGTTGTCTATTTTTTGATAACATTGTTTATCAAAGCAACATCAAGATGGATTGAAATGAATGACTTATTTATTTCCATAATTAACGTTCTTAGAATTTGCATTAATGGACACCTGTATGGATAGTTAATATTCCGCAATGAAAATATGTTGGAGCATAAATTCCTCTGCTCTCAAAGAAGTAGAACTGGAAATAGAATGCGTTTTCTCAATGCTGATCTAAGTCTGATTGAAAATTCAAAAAGGAAATTTAAAGATATTGCCCAGTGTTTCTTTCCTAGGTATATTTTATAAAAATTTAGACTAACAATTGAAATGTATTACCTTAACAAAAACAATAACTGACAGTGTTTTCAGGCACTGAAGTCAATTCCCCTGGTGTTATTCAAAGAGGATTTCAGTATCCATTTATTAAGAATTCTGTGACGAGTTGATGAGAAAGCAAAGCAAAATTAAGGTCATAACTTAATTAAACTACTTTTTAAATGTTAATTTAAATTTCAATGCCCCTTTTGATTCACTAATATAAATAAGGAAACATTGATTAATAAGCTTCCAATATTGTTTTGTCTGCCTCTTTTCTTATTTTCCGTTTATATTATACTTACGTCAAAACAACTGTTACAGTAAAGAAACTGGAATGGAAGATCAAGAATTAAGTCATAATAACGATATTTTAATGAATTGAATTACTATTCTAATTCCTGTAAATACATTATCTGTTTGGAATGCAAATGACATAAAATCAATAAAACATTTTGATTAAGAATATTAACACTCATTATGAATTTGAATAAAATCCAACGGAAGCAGTTGCTGTGCTTAATCATTTTTAACTCGAATAGAATTAAAAACGAACAGCATATATTGCAACGTATTATATAATTGATATGATTAAAAAATTAAATTTCATATTGTATTTGTTGTAGAAAGAAAGAAAAAAATGTTATATACAAAATTCCATGTAACAACTGCAGTTTAAACTAAATTGGGCAAACAAAAAGTCATTGTATGTTAGAATTAGAGAACACAAGAATGATCACAATAAGCATGCATTACAAGCAACATATAGAACTGCATTGAATTCTAGGTTGGATTTAGAGAATAATGTAATAGTAA